AGGGAGAGATAACAAACCAATTTCAATAGCTGAGAAGTAAAGAAAAACTCAAAGAACAGGAACTTTTGGGAAGGAATTGACTCCATAGCTACAAAATGCAGAAAGAACTGGTGGTTCTGCTGATAGATGAACCTTAAACACAGCAAGGCACTTACATTCCAGTGTATCTGCTCCGTGGGAAACAGCTGTGACACTTAAAAATTCATATCCCAGCTTATTCCTCACAAACATACCCATGTAGATAAGCCCTGAGGTTACTTTAACAAAGCCAGAGAAGACTGTTTAGAAAAAGGCCTAAAGCATACAAATGAAAGACCAGATTTTGAAGCGTCCAGCTGCCTCTGTTGTAAACAACAAATGCTGGGTTTTTTTCAAATCCAATCAACGAGAATTTCAAAGGCTCCCAACAACTTTATGTTCTCTCAGTAGTGGCAGGTCTCATCTGATCTACACTAATCTTTCTTAGCAAATATGTCTTTTCCACTTGCCTATGCAGTATGAAGTTATTATGTTTTTTGTAAAATGTCCCCAAGCCATGGAAGTATGAAAACTGAACAATATTAATCATATTTGGAGAAAATAGTGTTCTTTGTTTAAAATGAAAAAGTAGAAAATATAAATATCCTCAAATACTGAACAGAGTATACTTCATTTGATATATTGTATTGAACCCAGCAGGTTACAACTATGATAATTTCCATCTTACATTGTATAAACTTAGTGAAGATAGAAATATCAGATATAAAAATCAGGGACAAGAAAAACTGCCTGAGGTGATTTTTTTTCCCTAAATTTTTTCAAGTTTTTGCTATCAACAGAGCTGTAGAAGAAATTATTAGAAGGCTCACAGAAAAGTTGTTGCAACTATTTGTGCTCCAGTATTAAATGGAAGTGCAGTGCACAAAGTTGGATACAGAAAGCTTGGTTAAAAAGTCTCACTAATGAAAGGAGCAAATGCTTAGTTCTTCCAATGGAAGACAGAAGAGACTGGCAAAGTCAGAACAGATGTCAGCTGTCTTTTATTTTGTGTTTAAAACTGTCAAGCAAGTACCTGATGACAATAAATGTTTTATTCCACCCAACATGAAATGTTGGCATAACCTTTTTGTTTCAGATATCTAGTTGCAGCCCATGTACCAAGTAGAACATTTGTTTAAGGCAATGTGAATGCAGACTAGGGCACTTATGCCCTGACTAGCTACAGCTTTACCCTATTCATAAGCTTTTCTCTCACAGCATCTTCTGCTTTTGCAGGATAAAAGTATCTTATTTTGCTCTTTTGACCCACTAGCCTTACTGCATAACTTGACTCATGATTTTACCCTATGATATTTGAGAGTTTTCTTATGTATATAATTGGACATTAATTGCAACAATCTAGTTTCTGAAGTCTAAAAGCAACTAACTACTAGAGAAAGTTATGGCTCTAATAGAAATGTTGCCTGGCAAATAAAAAGCAAGCACAGCACATAAATTAAAAAAAAAAACTTTATTTAAATTGTAAATCTAAGTGTCTAATTATCCACTGTAAAACAAAGTGCAGGACAAGAGAATTCAATTACATCAAAATAATGGATATTCTAGTAGAATGTTAATGATCACACTGTTTCTTGACAGCACACTCTGACAGCACTATGCATTCACAGCTTCATACTAATGAAGCAGTGTTTGTTGCCAGTGTTCTATGGCAACATTCTTGTTCAGTGTTATATTTCAATATAAAGTTAAGTTTTCATTCAAAAAAGGAGAATTTAGTGAGACTAACCATTTTTCCCAATCTCAACATCAGAGAAATCCAATGTAATGTAATGTAATCTAATCTAATCTAATCTAGTCTCGTCTAGAATAAATTATAAACTAATCATATTCTAAACTGTCTGGAGGTGTTCCAACTAATTAATATTTTCGTTTGTTTAGGCAATTGAAGTCTACAAATATTAGTTGATAAGCAGTGTGTTCTTCAAAATTAGTTGATCAACAGTGTGCTCTTCAGTACTGTGCTTCTGAAATGCAAACTGCTGGTATTTGTTTAGGTAGATCCATAAGGATTTTCTTCTCCAAAATGGCTGGTCATGAAAATCAGAAGAGTCCCAGAAGAAATAACTGCAGAACTTCATCATCAGTATTTCAAAACTTTCTAGTGCTGGTATATACTTAGTGTTAATATAATCTGGAATACTAACGCATTTTATCATTTGCTTTATGGTTTTATTACTTGATGGCTTATGATTACAAATCAGGACCAGGTAGACATAAAAAGCTGTCATAAACTTTAATCCCAAACCCAATGTCTCTGTTTTTCTAAACTATACCAGTCTACACTAGGCCATTATTTCTAAAAGCTGTAATTAATTGTGTTGGTGAAAACACAGAAATAATATTTTTCACTGTACTCACATAAGATGACACTGCAAAGGGGGCATGATTTTCCTTGTTTAAGCCATGACCCTCACTTATAACGTTTGCTGTCACAGAGTGGTAAGGTTGAAATGGGAATTCAAAGATCATCCAGCCTGTCTCTTTGCATAAGGCAAACTCAGCAATATTGATCTAATACATGACTGATGCTTGTCCACATTACAGCTAGAGAAACTCTAGCTAGGAAAACATCCTCAGACGATTTGAGTGCTTTATTATCTACCATTAGGAAAGTTGTCTTAATGCACAATTTAAATCTCTCTGTCTTTTTTTCTACAGCTGACGATTCTTATCCTATCCTTCACATGGATGAAGATGAACCTTTTCTGCTTAAGGCAATTCTTCTGTTACACAGTGAAGGATCTATGTTTCCCCTATTCTTTAGATGCAAAGTTGAGCGTTCAGTTTTTCATTCTAGATCATATTTATTGTATATCTGAAAATTATTCTTATCCCCTGGATTCTCTCATTCAGTTAATAACTTTATTGGCAGAGCAACACCTAAAGTTGGGTACTTTTTATCATACAACAGTTTGCTAATTCAGCTGTTTCTGCTTAAATGCTCCACAAGAGCATATTCTGGTGTGAAAGACAGGCTTCTTCCATACCATGACTTTTTTAAACAGGAAAAAGGATGTGAGGTTACTAATAGGAGTCCATCATGATTGATATTGGCTAAGGAGAAAAAGAAGGCAAGAGAAACTGTAATGAACATTGTTAGATTTTTTTTTTTCCTTTAAGAAGTGAGAATTTTCTCATGAGCATAGCAAGGTGAATAAAAACAGTTATTTTTTTCAACACACGGTAAATATTATTAGGGCAATTTTTATTAATACGCTTCTAAACATGCTTTCATTCACTGTAAGAGGAATCTTGTCATATAGAAAAGGGAAGTGTTGGACATTAAGGAATGAAAACTTTCGAAAATAATAGCTTAGTGGAAGGCTGCAGACAAAATAATGTCATTGCAGATAAAAGTAAGCAATTAGACTGATAAGAATGATGTCATACTCTAGTTTCATAGAAAATTAGAGAAAATTTCATATTATTTCAATTCCCTACAGTTTTCCACCCGCAATTTCACTTAAAGTAACACTGTCTGGAATGAAGGGAGAGGGAATACATGGAGGATTCCACTGTTTAAATAACAGGTCCAGAGAAAGTGCAAAACCTTAGTATCAAGCAGGAGCTAATGCAAACGTATTTTCTGTATTTCCTTTACATACAGCTGAAGTGGTAACTCTTTAATACATGTATTGTAATTTGGACTATGTCAAGTTACCTGAACACCTGAAATAGATTGTAATAAATTATTTTTAAAATCCTGAATGTTATGGAATGGGAATGCCCAATGGTCCTTAACTTTTTCATGAGAAATTAGAGTATGCTACAAAAAATCAGTGCAAATAGGACATAATTTTTATTACTGAATTCTTATTCAGATTTGCCCACCTCACCCACTCTATACCAGGAAACTTAAGTGAGGTTTGATTAATAAAAAAGAATGCAGTGAGAGACCCTTTATATTATTCTTCAGATAAAATACACAGACTTTGTTTAAATCAAAATCTGAATTGATTTGCTTAATTCTCATTAGGTATGGAAAAATGATCATCAACATTTTGGCAATTAAGCCAAATGTAATAAAGGGGCACAATTCACTGGTTCTGATCCAACCTCCAACTGCTGTCAGAAACCACAACCCTGAAATGAGAAAACCCCAACTTTCTCAGCCTGTCTTCATACGGGAGGTGCTCCAGTCCCCTGATCATTCTCAGGGCCCTCCTCTGGACTTGTTCCAACAGTTCCATGTCCTTTTTATGTTGAGGACACCAAAACTGCACACAATACTCCAAGTGAGGTCTCACAAGAGCAGAGTAGAGGGGCAAGATCACCTCTTTTGACCTGCTGGTCATGTTTCTTTTGATGCAGCCCAGGATACAGTTGGCACACACTGAAGCCAGCTCATGTTCAGTTTCTCTTTGACCAACACCCCCAAGCCCTTCTCTGCAGGCCTGCTCTGAATCTCTTCTCTGCCCAACCTGTAGCTGTGGCTGGGATTGCTCTGACCCAGGCCCTTGTGTTTTTTAGGTGGGGTTATATGGCTAAAAGGGCCCTCTGTTATTTTATGGTGGGTTTATATGATCAGAGGGCCCTTGTGTTGGAGTTCTTATAGTTGAGATATCAACGATGGCTTTTCAGGCTATAGACCTCGGGTGACTCCGGGTAAGAACTGTATGACTTATTTTGTATTGCTTTTGGGGGTGGGTTTTGTTTTAGCGGCGTTATTGGTGGCTTCTAACCCTTCTCCTCATTATGGGGTGGTTGGGTTGGTTTTTGGGTCTGTTGTGGGGTGTGGGTGGTTGGTGAGTTTGGGAGTTTCCTTTGTCTCCTTGGTGCTCTTTATGGTTTATTTGGGGGGGATGTTGGTGGTTTTTGTGTACTCTGTGTCGTTGGCGGCCGACCCCTTTCCTCAGGTTTGGGGTGGTTGACGTGTTGTGGGGTATATTTTAGGGCTTGTTTTGGTTGTTGGTGTGGGATTTGCTCTTTGGGGGTGGGGGGGTGGTGGATATGGGGTGGGTACTGTTGATGGTGGGGGGGTGTTTTTTACTCGGTTGGATTTTAATGGGGTGGCTCTGTTTTATTCTTGTGGGGTGGGGATATTTTTGGTGGCGGGTTGGGGGTTGTTGTTGACTCTGTTTGTTGTGTTGGAGCTTGTGCGGGGGTTGTCTCGGGGGACTATTCGGGCTGTTTAGGGTCAGAGAATAGTTTAATGTAAAATACCAGCTTTGGGAGTTGGTGATAGAGGTTCAGTCCTCTTTTTCTGATTAACTCTAAGAAGGGGGGGGCCTTCGTTCTTTGGTTTACAAGACCAATGTTTTTTGTAAACTATTAGAGTTAGTTGAGGGCTTTGTTTTCTAGGAAGGAGATGATGGGGAATAGGATTAGGATGATGGTGAAGTAAGTTAGTGAGGCTAGTTGCCCGATGATGATGAATGGGTGTTCTACTGGTTGACTTCCCACTCATGTCAGGATGAATAGATTAGCGGCGAGGGCTCAGAATAGGAGTTGGGAGATGGGGCGGAAAGCTAGGGTGCGTTGTTTTGATTTGTGGAGGAGCGGGGCTAAGAATAGGATTAACACGGAGGCTGCTAGGGCTAGGACTCCTCCTAGTTTGTTAGGGATTGAGCGTAGGATTGCGTATGCAAATAGGAAGTATCATTCTGGCTTGATGTGTGGGGGGGTTACTAGGGGGTTTGCTGGTGTAAAGTTTTCGGGGTCTCCTAGGAGGTTTGGTGAGAATAGGGTAATGGTGGTGAGTAGGAAGAGCATGAATGAGAATCCTACGAGGTCTTTTAGGGAGAAGTATGGGTGGAATGGGATTTTGTCACAGTTTGATGAGATGCCTAGGGGGTTGTTTGATCCTGACTCGTGGAGGAAGGTTAGGTGAATGAGGGCTAGGCTGGCGATAATGAATGGGAGTAGGAAGTGTAAGGCAAAGAATCGAGTTAGGGTGGGATTGTCTACCGAGAATCCGCCTCAGGCTCATTCTACTAGGGTTTGTCCTATGTAAGGAATAGCGGAGAATAGGTTTGTAATGACTGTAGCTCCTCAGAATGATATTTGGCCTCATGGTAGAACTTCAGCCATAAAAAACAGCCCAAAGATTTATGAGGAAATGTTCTTCCATGCTTTGTTAGGGTGTGGAACAGCTTAGACCCATACACTCTTATAAGCGCTTACCTACCAATACAATACTGACATTGTATTTTTTTTTTTTTTTAATAGTATTGTATTTTAAGACTTTAGCTTTTGCCATCATTAGCTGCAGATGACAAGGCACAAAAATGAGTATAATTTTATGCTTTATGAATGTGAAACATTGTGTATGCCAATTTTATTTATTTTATTGCTTTATTATGCAAGGAAGAAAGGAAAACACAGAAACAATACTAGCTGATGGGTGAAACACTTAGCCACCTAAGTAGAAATTGAAGGAGCCATTGGATTTATTTAGGTTTACATTCATCTGTGCAATGCTCAATTCGTTTGCCTAAGCAAAGAAATGCATTTGGCATCATTGCAAAGGGCTGTCACTACAGAATTGCTCTGAACTCTTCCTCTATTATTAGTTTAAGATGCTTCATTAAAAATAAAATTAAATAAAAATGGAGAAATAAAATAGTCCATGAAATGTCTCAGACAAAAGTTGAAGAATTTCGTTTCCAGGGATAATTTTGTTCAGTATGATCTACAAGAGTGAAAATATTAGCTGCACAGGCATGTCTGGAACAATCACACAGAATAATTTTCTTTTCTATAACTGATGGCTTTCTCCTCTCCACTCCTGCTCTGAGCAGCTGCTCTGAAAGACAATAACACAGTCAGGTATTATCTTTAGATGTCAAGTGCATCTGTGACGATATATTGAACCCCACTCTTCATATATCCTTCAGGAAGTATTTCAGTGAAGGATCAGCAAAACAATGATTTGGTGAAAAAAGCCCTGCCACAGCACTGTGATAAAAATCAGGCTGTTCAAATTCTGCCATTCTCTAACCATGTTGTAAAATAATTTCTTAGCTTTATTAGTAAAATCAAATGCATTTCAAAATCACGGTAATAATTGTGCTATTTTGGGACTGAATAAATTTTAATTTATTCCCTCTAATTTAAGGTTTAAATAAATCAGAATTATACATGTTATAAAACTAAGATGATCCTACATATTCTAACCCCACCAATATCAATGAAAGCCAAAGACATTTTTATAGAGTTAACAAAATACCAGAATAAGAATGTATTAGGTATCTGAATTAGAGTGAAGACTGTAGCAAAACCAAGTAAAACATCAAGACAATACCAAGATAATGAACTGAAAGCAAGAGATCTTAGATACAAAAACCTGACAACACTTTCCATGTTCTGAGAAGAGAAAGTTAAGCATTTGCAAGCTGTTATCCACACGATAGCCAGTCTAGAGCATGACTACAGAAGTAGACTTTACAAGGTAAATAGAATTATGGCTAAGAAGATATGCAAAGCTTACTGTTTTGTGATTTTGCATGGGTATTAGTTAATCTTAATGGAATACAGCCAATTAAACTTTCTTGTCTCATAAACCTCCAAGCCTATCTCCTTTTTGTGAGTTTCTTATATTACTTTCACAGCTGCTGCAAATATGCTTTTACAGTGGTCCATGAGAAGGAAATTCAGTGTATGGCCCTATGCAACTATGAAATTACATAATTATTGATTATTAAACTAATTATGCTATGAAAAATTCTTCCTTTATTTATAAAGGATTTAACAAAACTGTGCCTGGATTCACTGTTCTGAGGAAATATGCAGGTTATATCCACATGTTTTATTTATTTCCTTCCAATCCTGATGCCAGCCTGTGAGTAAATATTTAATGCTAGGAGCATTTACCATGTAAAATCAGCATAGTTTCCATTAATATGTAAGAAAAACAATTGCTTTTTATTTATGTTTTTCAGGATTCCTTTTTCTTTTCAGTAAAATTTTATCTTGAAAAGACCACTTAATTAATTTGTATTCAGTTTTGATCTTCATCTTAATTTTACACTATAATTTAGTCTCAAACTGAGCAGTATTATCTAAAAGCAAAACATTATTTATAACCTGAAATCTCTGAAAAGTGCCTTATACTTTGATGCTTAGGGTTATCTGCATTTAATCAAGATACTTTAAGTATTTTTCCAAGAAAGACTGTCATGGAGTTCCCTCCCTGGTGTTACCCTTGGGTGGACTCAGCTTGTTAACTTTAGAACAATGATCTCAATCTCCCCATGGGAAAATGAGCCACCATCCTCTTTCCTACTCCATCTCCCCACTACACGTCCATATATCTGCAACCTGAGCTGTGGTTTACTCCAGCTAACACAAATCTCAGTTGAGGATCTGTTGTTTCACCTGACCTATAACTCACTCTTAGGTGATTATCAGATGCTTGGCTGCAGTGCAAAGGCCATTAACCATCATAACAGATGGAAGCATAGTTAATGTTTTAATGAGTATGAAACAAGGGTCAAATTGTAGTATGATTGAAATAACTGTTTCATTTATTTCAGAAAATAACTTGGCAGCTATCATAATTTCTGTTCAAAAATCTGATTTTATATTTCTTAAAATGTTAGAGTTTGAAAATTGTTTACTTGGTAGTGATTAGCAGAACTGTAATTTCATCTACTGTTTATTATTCATGAGAATTAGCTATCAAACAGCTATGTAAACAAGCATGACACAGTGCTGATAATTCTGAGAAATAACCACTGCAAGTCATAGATGCTGCTAGACAGTGTCACAATTTTTTGTAGGTGACATAACCCAGGTTCAGGCCCAGCGTTACTTATGCCTAACTGTTGCTTTTGTTGAGAAACTGGTGAGGTCAAAAACTCAAAGGCAGTGAATTTCTGAAGCTCTGAGTACAGATCCTGATGTTCTTCTTCAAAAGGCACAAAGTTCTGGAAGCTAATTGCAGAGAAAGAGCTGTGGCAACAAGGAAAGCTCTTGAAAAATCGTCTTAATGCATATTACTAAGACAATTTTCCCTCTTGAGGATACCTGAGGGATTTATAAATACCCAGGTACATGACAAATAAAGATTTTACAAGCCACTCCTGAAAGGTCATTGTTTTGCCATCAGAAAATATAATGGAATTACACAAATGCCAGTGACAAAGAGATACCATGTAAAAAAATATTTTTTGCCAGTTTTCCCCATATTTTTATTACTTGCATATCAATTAATTTCACAGATTATTAAATTCTACCAAAGAATAAATTTGCCAACCCTCAGTACTTTAGTAGTCTCATCTGAATTAAATCTGGTACTGCATAGATCTCAGAACTCAGAAAACTTTCAGTGTTTTAAATTTGGTTTTAAAAATTACATAGAATGCTTAGTTTACATGCCACTGTTTAAAATGCACTAACCTGAAAGAGCCAATACCACTCATTTGCTGCCTTTCTATACTGCTACACAATCAGTTCCACTTTTTTACATATGTAAGACATATATACATATATATAACAAATATATACATATATTTATATAGTCTATCAAAAAGTATTACAGTGGAAGCACCCCAGAAGAGCAATATTTATGTAGATGAAACAAGACAAAGTCTCCTGAAGCTGGAATTACTTTTGTTATATACTTTGTCTTATAGATTAAACCTGTTTTGTGAGCTTTGTATAATTAACACAAGTCACCATCAAAGTGTGACTTGGCAAAAGTTAGAGCTCATGATCATATTTTAATAATAAATGTAAGTTTTACCTTTATATCACAGGTTACCAAAATAAAGACTATAAATATGTATACATACAGAAAAAATCCAGATAATATCAAGAAAGAATTTCAGTGCTATTTCAGTCACAGGACAGAAACTGCTCGTTTTCATTTCAGTTGAATTGCAGCAGTCAATAACAAATTCTTTCCAAACAACCCATCTTAGAATATCAAATTTACTACCACAGCAAGCTACTGAGGCCAAACAATTCATAAAAATGTAATAATTCTCTTTGCAACACTTTCCTACAGGCTTCTATTTCAAGCTTATATCCACTGCAACAGTTCCAAAAACATTGTTTTCCAGTCCAGATTTCCACTTGTTAAAGCTTCTTAGATCTACTGTAACATCCTGTCATCAGCTGCTGTATTCATGAGAAAGGTCCATATATATTACTTAAAAGGTGTTCTTTCCTCAGTATCACCCAGGCTAGTTGCAGGTTTTCATAAACTAGTTAATAATCTCTCTCCTTTTGGCTGTGTCTTCACAGGGTTGAATTTGTTTCATCACAATATTTGTTGGTAGAAATGCATTTCAGAGCATAAGAAAGGACACGGAAGAAAAACTGGTTTTCCCAGATCTCTTTCAGGGGGACTCAACTTGTTTATAACCACTGTCCAAAAATTCTCACTTCTGAGTACACTGCCTTGAATTTGAATTTTATTGACAGCATGGGCATATATAGCAGCACAGATCATCTTGGGTGTGTGTTGTTAGGTATGGCTTGTACATGGTATGAGTCTGAATCATAGCAAGTCTACTGTGTGCATTTGCAGTAAGTTTGATGAACAAGTCAGACTATTTTCATGTGACAGTTTGAGAGATATGAAAACTATAGCTAATTGTCACTTCACATGTGAATTGCAAAACTCATCTACCTAAAAAGACCATGCGTTAAAACATTAACTTTGCATCTTGGATTTCTTGAGTTATTACAAGGTTTCTAAAAAGACAAAGCTGATGCAAACAAGTAACAGAAAAACAGCAGGCCCAGTGTCTGTAACTACAAACACATTCAGATCACACAAACAGTGGAGTCCTGCCATCTGGACCAACAGAGTAGGTGTCACATTTGCCAAAGGGCAAAACAGATTATGAAGATGTTAATTCACACTGGTGTAGTAGACAGAAAGTCTTCCATAGAGCATTAAAAGCGCACAGTGTTGCTTTTTCGTTTGGACTTCAGACTGAGCAGGTAGCCCATCAGCATTTAGCCAAAGAAATCCTGAACCAATGCAGAGCTGCAGATGCTGAAGAACACAAGCTATTCTAGTTGACACTGACATTAACTTGCATTCAATCTTTTTCTCCCGATTGGCACTTCTCCTGATT